CACCGATTCCGGGCCCATCGCCTCCGGACCCTACTCAGGCCGTACTCAACATCAACAATGTCGAATATGTGACGGCGGGGGGGGCTTCTGGTATCAGCGCCAGCCACTCCTCTGGTGCAGAGCCGCGGAGACGCTCCAGCTCATCAGGTGTGAGATGTCTGTAGCTTGTGACGGTCAGCGGTTCCTTCTCTTCCAGTGACCAATTACCGGAGCTACCTACCTTCTTCATTGCCTTCCGCACCTCCGACATTCCCCGACTGACGCTCTCACGACAAACCTGATCGGAAACGTGGGAGAACTCGTCGTCTGGGTCCACGAACTCGAGATAGTCTTTGAGGTCACGCATTGCCAGTGTTTCGCCCATAGTATTACTCTCGCCAAGCGGAGTCCACATGAAAATTCTTGAACACTGCTCGAACCAGTCGAATCTTTTCTCTTCGTCCAAGAGGGCGCTCTTCTTACTGAACCCCCCTTTCTCGACTGCTTCAATCAACTTCTTCATTGCTTTCTTTTGTGCCGCAACCACGAATTGAACCTTCGCCTCTTCTGTTCGATCAGATAACGACAACAACATAACCTGACAGCCTCTAATTGGCGGTTGCATCCCGCTGGCGTTCATTAGCCACGCCAAGAGCCCCTGTCTTCCCACATTGATTGTTGCGTGACACGATCCCGCTTTCATTGTCCACAATTTTATTCAACCCGGCTTTTACCGCGCAGTTTTAAGACAGAAACATGTAGCGCTGTCCTGGTAGGAAAGATGATGTGGCCCGCTCGGGAGGAGGGTTCGTTCTCTTGCTTGCGGCATTGATGCGAGGCCGAGTCTGCCGCGGCTTGTAGCAGCTTCGTCCGCACACTGTACCGAGCGTCCATCGGAAGGCAGGCCGGCCTCACACCCTCGGAATCCCCTGTCATGGTCACGCTGAGGAAGTGCTTGGTACAATTGTCGTCCCCCATTGGCGTCGTAGCGTAATCTTGGTCGTAGTAAATTCCTATCTAGTCACTCAAGTGGTATTCAGTGACGACTCCAAAAAGGCGTCAATTATACCGTGGGGTACACGCAGGTCATTGTATGAATGGGTCCGAAGGTGAGGGTGGTGTGCCATAACAAGTATAGTCTTCTGCCTTCATTCAAAAGAGCGGGACCGGTACTGCTTTAGCCTCCCTTATACCGCTCCTTTGTTGTTCGACGGCTCGCAGTCCGCGGGGCACGTGCCTCTGACTGACAATCCTCGCCGCTCAAGCGAAGCTCTCTTCTTTCTGGAACACCGAATCCCACCATGTCCCGCAGACTACGCCCGGCACCACTGCAGGCCGCGTGTGCGCACGTGTGTGTGCCCAATAAAGTCAAATAAACACCCTCCATGCGTGCGTCAAATCCCACGATTCAACCGTGGGCAAGGTCGGCCTCCAGTTGTTATATCTCGCCCGCTGAAGCTTTTTGTCGAATAGGGGGGGTCAGAAACCGTGGCAACGCAAGTTAGCAGAATTAACACCGAGGGCTCTTTATACGACGCTGGCAGCACCACGCCAGCACCGGACCAGTGCGACACAACAATGGCGACAGCTACTGGATTGGTCGCCGCTGACGTGGGGTATGCATATATGGGGAGCTTTCCGGAGTCGACACGCGAGCTTAACTCGCGCGAGCTGCAGGCCTGGGAAGATAAGCCAGCGAAGTGCCGCCTCCCACCGTTCACCGCCGTCACCGAAGAGGAATTTGAACAGTGGGCGGATGACGTGGCGACTGCCGTCGGCGAGCAGTACCACTACATCCACGACGAGACGCTAGTGGCTAGACCGCGCCTGGATGCCAGCCACCGTCAGAGCGCGTTTGAATGGGTGTAGGAGAGGCCCCGGGGTGGCGGTAGAGAGGTTTCTGTCCGACGTAGCTAGGTCACTGTACCCGGCTCACGAGAGTGCTGACAAGAAAAAGAAGGGCCAGCCGCCGGGAGAGGACGTCGGCATGCCAGTGGCCGCAGTCGAGAAGGCAGTGCAGAGTGAGGGTCCAGGGGGGCGAAATGTCGGCATGAGCCGACAGAGGACATGGCGCTGGAGCCACGAGTCGCGGGAACCGTGACTGGAGGATCGAGTAACGGTCGAAATTTTCGGTAAGGGCCCTCGTGAAGGGGGCCGAGATTGAGCTCCAGCAGGATGCAGGCACAGAGGTAAGCCTGCTGAGGAGAAAGGATTGCAGTCGCGCCGGCGTAAGAGTGTCGCAGCGCCGACAGCGAGTAAGCTCAGTGTTGGGTTCAGGGTCACTACCCGTGACTGAGCCAGTACCGATAACAGTGCACGGCGAGACGGACGAAGTAGAATTCGCGGTGCATGACCAACCATCGGTCCCGAACCTCATGCGGAGGGTGGAGTTGGAACGGCTTGGTTTGGTTGAGAGAACTCCGGGAAGGCGTTGGTCCTGGCGGCACAGAGAGGCGCGGTTGATGAGATACGGCTTGCCACCAGTAGTAGAGGAGCAGTCGGCGGATCCCTTCTAGAGGCAGCGGCAGGTGTTCGTGGAGGACACGGGACACCTGGACAAGAGCCTGAGGGACGGGCTGTGGAATCTGTTGGTCCCATACAGAGACGTATGGGAGTACCCAAAGGTGGCGCGCGTGAAGTACGAGGCGCGTTTCGAGGCAAGCGGCAAGCCTATAAAGCGAGGTTCAGACATCTCGAGCTTGAGTTGCGGGCCGAGTTGGAGAAGCAAATGGAGAAGCAGCTGAAGCTCGGAGTCATCCGTCCTTCGAAAACCGAGTGGGCCGCCACGCCGCACTTCGTGAAGAAGAAGACGGGCGAGTGGAGGTGCGTTTTGGATTACCGGAGGGTGAACCAAAGCATGACTACCGACTCGTATCCGCTGCCCCGAATATGGGACCACTTAAGAACCACAGCAAACCATCAGCACTTCACGACTCTCGATATGAACTCGGGATTCTGGAATGTGCCGATAGCGGAGGAGAGCAAGCGCCTCACCGCGTTCATCACACCGTTTGGGCTGTTCGAGTTCATTGTCATCCCCTTCGGGATTAAGAACTCGCCGGCGGAGTTCCAGCGCGCGATGGACATTTGTTTGAGGAGGTGTTGGACCACCGCACTCTGTGTTACATTGATGATATCATCATGGAAGACGGACACGGTGCCGGAAATGATGCAGCGGTTGGAGAAGGTCTTGCGACTGCGCGGAGAGAGAGGCTTCTACCTCAGGCTAGATAAGAGCGAGTGGCTTAAGACCGAAGTAAAGTACCTCGGTCACAAGATTGTGCGGCAAGGGATAGCACCAGGAGAGGAAGATAGGCAACGTTCT